TTAATGAACTTCAATGATCAGTTACAAGAAAAGAGGAAATGGATTTAGGAGAGAGGGGAAAAGAAGTGAAGGAAAACGTGGGGAGGGGGAACGAGTTTGGCAAGGCCAAATCTCCTTACAACCAAATCTGGAAAAATGACAAAAGAAGAATAATTACAAAAATTCTCAAATTAACGTAACCAATAAGCTTAGAATACGTGTCGTTCTAGAATCTTCGGTTTCAGTGGTCCCCAGCTCAGGCTGTATGCGTGAAGAACCCAAAAAATGTGATTCTGTGAGCACGCCTTCTCACAGCTTGTTACCTTTGCTCCACGCTTCCAGTGATCTGCGACCACGCCTTCTCCAACTTCTTCCTTATTGCTTCATTTCCAGCTGCCACTTAACTCTTCACTCCATTACACCAGTCATGTTTCTTCTTATCATTTGATGGTCAAACAGCAACCAGTACATAGGAAACAATTGCAACAATCTAACAGGAAAAAGAATACATCGTTTTACTTGACTAATCCGTGGTCTTCACTATCAGCCAGAACAACGTACTTCTTTTCATTGATTAGTTTCCAATTTGATCCACAAGATCTCAACCACAAGGCTGGTTATGTGAAGCAAGAATAAACATAGCATTTACCTTGGCCATATTATATACATAAAACCCGTGGGCGATACAAAGTGATCACAAGGCTTTACGCCATCGACATGCAATTGCTGTCTCTCGTGATTTGTCATGACCAACCAGGATGCCGTCTTATTTTTCCTTTTTCCGTTTCTGTTCTTCTTTTTTTTTTTTCTTTTAGTGATCATATCGCATAATAAAACAGCAACGGGACATTGTTCAATTGGTTGACGACTTTCAAATTAAAAGCCACGAAATTATTCATGAAAGATTCTAGAATATTTTTCAACCAACCTTGTTCATATAAAACTTAACCAACTCCAAAAGCAGCATATAACTGTGGTCTCATCACCATTCATGACACTTAAATAAATTTATCATGTGGGTCAATCAAACCTGGCCGACACCATTTTTATTAAACTTTGGATTAAGGGCAAATGACATCTTTTGGCCATGGTATCACAGATTAACTTACAACATTCATTTTATCTCAGATAAGGTCAAATAGTTTAAGGGTATGTTTGGTTACCCAAGGAATTGGGGTTTAGAATTGGAATTGGGTCCCCAATTCTAATTCTCGTGTTTGGATCCTACCTTTCGTATAGAATTAGAATCAAATCGCAATTCCAAATCGATCGAATTCCATGGTTCCAATTCTTTGGCTGGACCAAAGAATTCCAATTCCAATTCCACGGCCAGATTCTCGTTGGGTCAACACGCGGACTTTAAATGGGTCAAAACTAAAAAACGGGTCAACTATAAAGCTAGATTAAGGAAACAAAGCTAGCTTCTTCCTCTGTCTGCATTAGCAAATCGCCATCTGCTCCAGCGTTCTCTGTCGCCGCCGCCGCTGCGCCTTCTCCTTGTCCCAGCACCTCTGCCGTAACCCCTACAAGACTTTCCTCCCTCTTTTCCTCCCTCTGCCGCAACATCGAGTGGGTGAAATTTACAAATTGAGTTATATTTTGGTCTCCTTTCTTTCGTTTCCTATTAATCTTGAATTGTGCCTCCTGCTTTTACCTTTGCCGCCGCTTCCATTGCCGTCACCACCACCACCGTCGCGTCCTCTCGCCCTCACTCTCCTTCCGCTCCTTCAATTCTCAATTCTCGACAAATTTAGGGTTTATGATGTTATATTCATTTTTAAATTTTTGCCAATCAAAGATTGATTTTTTTTGGTTGTTCCTCTGATAATGTTTGCCATTAATGTTATAAATTTGCTACTGTTTTTTTGCTTCTAATTCAACATTTGGACGAGGATAGAAAAAAAGGTAGCACTCTGTTGCCCTGTTCTTCTAGATTTAACGTAACCAAGCAAAATCTTTTTTGTTTTTGATACAGTAGCAACCAGGTTTTTGTTTGAGATTTTTCCAATAGCTAATTTGGTCTTTTGAATTAATAGCTAGTTTGGCATGATTTGGTCTTTTGGCTTATCTTTTCTTATTGTTGTTGTGATTTTGAATTGCAGAATTTGGATATTGACATGGATAAAGAAGGAGACGAGCAAAAGGCAAAAAAGAAAAAAGTGGGAATGTAAAGGAGACTTGTTAGAAAATGAAATGGGAGACTTGCCTTTGAGCTCTTGCCAAAAGGTGGATCAATGTATGAAGAAACATTGGAGACTTACAAATTTCATGATTAGATCTCTTTGATGCTGGAGAAGTTGCTTCTTGTATTGAATTTCTCAGTTTTAGCTGACGTTAACCACATTAATTCTTCATTCATTTGTCAATGAGCTGAATCCAGAATTATGCACCTTTTGTTGTTCTGCATCAGGGGCCTCTCCGTACTTTATTAGTTGAGGCAATCTGTCCTTACAGCGAAATTCTGCGCACCAGTCCCTACTGGAGGAAGATCTTCTCACGCAATCTTCTGAAGAAGTGATGTTGGAAATGGTGGTCAACTGCTGTGGTTTTTAGAAAAAATGCTACAAACTTTGTGAATAAGTGTTAAATCTCTTTTTGGTGTGGCCTTATGTATATTACCTGACCTCGTTTCCTTCATGTTCAAGTGTGGTGACAACTTCTACCTTAGCCTGAGAGAAACTTGTGACTCTTTCTTATGTTGTAGTGTTACTTGTCAAATACTTTACATAGGAGATAATGCAGGCAACGAAGCTTCTGTTGTTACCTGTTCTGTATTTCTTTGGATAATGTTTTTTCCTTGCATATAGTAAAGGAGCCTTATTTTGACTTTAAAGTAGCACGTGAAATATATCTTTGGCGTCTTTATTATGGAAACAACAGAGTTTATGTAGAGCAACTTCGACTCAATAAACATTGTTTTACTGTTTTATGTACAAATTTAAGTGAGCATTGTGGGTTGAGGGATATTATAAATATTACAGTTGAAGAAGCAGTTGCAATGTTTCTCTATGTTCTTGCTCATAACTTTAATAATCGCACTGTCAATTTTAATTTCATAAGATCAGGTGAGACAGTTAGTTGATACTTTAATATAGAGTAGGTTTTTAATTTTCTAAAATTTAAAGTTCCTAACTTAGAAAAAAATATCAAGGTTTTAACTTGATAAATATGTACTTTTTAAGCTAGAATATGTAATTAGTTTTTATTTAATATAATTTAATTAAGAATTTTTTTTTAGAAAAGGAACTAATTAGCTTTTTCTTTAAAACTTTAGTAACAATTAGTTAAATGCAAGAAAAAATAAATTATTAAAGGCACTAATTGGTTTTTTCCTTGAAGTTTTAGTAACAATTAGCTAAATGTTAAAAATTTATTACAGAGGAAAAAGAAAAAAGAAAAATTTTATGTAAGCAAATGTTAGATGAAAACAATTCTAATTCTTAATGAATTCTTCTCCCGTCCAAACAAAGAATTTGGGATTCGAAATGAATTCTGTATCAATTCTATGCATTTCTCAAACAAAAGAATTACAATGTTTTGGAATTCCAATTCATAGTATTCTAATTCTATAGAATTTCAATTCCAATTCAATTCCAATTCTGTAAAACCAAACGCACCCTAAATCTTTTGGCCGATACCATGTCCGTGATGCATGCCAAAATATCTTATTCGATATTGCTAATTCAAATCCGTGATGCATAGTATCGACCAAAATATTCGAGTTCACTCAAAATCGACAAGGGCATTTTTTCAGATTGTGCCTTTTTTGGTATTTTCTAATTTTAGTAATTTTTTCAAAATTTTAAAAAAAATTTTATGTGTTATAATGTGCGTATCACCTGATACTTAGCCGATATACCGTGACGGATGTGGAACAACCGTGATAGCGAAGCTACCGAGACCCGTGACAGTGAACCATGATTACAAGGAAAAAAAATAGCGAATTGGAGCATCTATACCTGACAATTACAGGCAAAAGCCTTCTACTACATTTCCATTATCTATTTTTTTTCCTAATGCTCTTTCTTGGAGGACGTGCAGAAAGGAATCAAGTTTCATGTAAATGATGCTTCTCAACTCTCCAAGGCAATGGAACTAGGGTGGGCGGGAATTGGATACCCGTCCCGTTCATCATTTGACTGATCCAATCCGCACCGTGTAGTTCAGCCATTTTCTAACCCTTATCCATCTCGCATATTAGCGGATATCCGATTATAGGATACCCGCTAAGATAAGTTCGAGTCAACGGGTATCCATCCCACTATACTTATTATTTAATTGTTTAAAAAATAATTTACTAATATAATTTTGTATTTCAGACATTCATCTAAGATTTAATAAAGATTTGTTTCTCAAAAAAATCTCCCACCAAAAAACAAGTATGCAAAGAGAATACAAGAAAAGGAAAAAAAAATAAAAGAAATTAAAATCAATAAAAGTTTGAAATAAATAGCACATTTTTTAAATATATGTTTCACATTAATTAAACTCTTTTCTATAAAAACATAAGATTATGATTTCTACAAATGAATCGTGTAAATAAACTATAGTCTCTTATATTTGTAATACAATTTGTTCAATAAAATTATGTATTTAGCTCTAAAAATATTATTTTATAGTATTTGTATAAAAATAAAAAATATATACACGCGGGACGGGTCGAGTACCTGCAGGTTTTTAATTATGTGACCTTAACCCATCCCGCATCTTAGCGAGTATTTGACTCTCTTTTGATCCGATCAAATAATATAGATCGGATGCCATAATTTTCGATTCGAATCAGATCGGATATAGTAGGTTTTTGGGTTAGCGGATAATTTTGCCCACCCATAAATAGAACAGGAAATAGAACAGAAGAATAAAAGCCCACGATAACATTCAACTGGGGAAAATGTAAATGCATTGGTGAATCAGAAAGCTAAGACTAAATTTGACCATCTGCTCTCGAGTTTTATCAGCAAAAGATAGGACCAATGATTTGAGTGCTTCCAAATGTCTTTTCATAGAAAAGAACAGGGTACATATGTAGACCACCAAACACGAAGCGCCAGTTTAGCTTTGATCATCTTTTGATTGAATGCCAATGGAAACATTAAAAAAAAAAAAAAAAACCTTAATAGATGGCTTTCATCATCTTCTTTACAATTTTGAGCAATAAAGAATAAGACATGAACAAACCACTTTAGAGGTGCCAGTTTAGCTTCAATATTATTTCTGGCTCTCTAACTATTTCAGATCAAATGTCAAATGGCACAAGACAGAAAATGTGGCAGCTTTGGGCATCACTTTTTGATCCAAACAATGACCGTCAGACTATCTTCTAAATAAATTTCCACTGCCCCTTACTTACCTCTTTACCATCCCCCCTTTCAACCCCCAAAAGACGCGAGAGAGGGAGAGAGAGAAGCACATGCTGCGCACAATCTTTCACAGCCATTCTTAGAGGAGGATGCACAACTACCTAGCAGCAACTTATAATTTACGGAAAGTAGTTCACCTTCACAAGCGTTAGAAAGCAAACTAGTTCAAACTTGCCAATGCGTTGACCAGGAATCATGGTAGTGGAATCATGGCATGGTTAAACGCTACGTCCACTTCTTCGTGATATTCATGCTGTTGGGGTATTCCTGCTTTTCACTGGTTTCCTTTTTCCATTAGCTGGCTGTTGATCAATGAGCAAAAGTTAGGAAATGATCCTCTTCCATCTTTTTCTTTTTCCTTCAAACAACTTCACTTCCCTCTTTGATCAGCAACCGTCAAAGATTGGACCTGGATAAATTTGAAGTGTTGATGGAGCTTATTCTCATACAAATGCAACAGATTCGTTCATAGGATAAATTACGATAGCTATGCTTAAATTAAAGTGCAGAAATTAAATCAAAACTTTTTTATTAATCTAAGTGCTGAAAGTTGAAACTTGTTTACATGGTTTCTCTCTCTCGCTTTTTTTCTCTGTGTCTCTCTCTCAGACACACTCATTGAAACTGCACAAGCCAGAGATATTGATTCTAAATCAGACTAATTTCGATACTAAGATTCAAAGCCACCTGTTCAAGATGCAAATCTAAAGAACACAGTTACATTGTAAATGCTTAAGATTTTCTGGTAATACATCCTTTTATCTGGTAATAATTCCTTTCATCAAGTCTAAAATGCCTTCATCATTTCATCCACCCCCAGAAACTTTCAGCATCTTTTTGCAAAATCAGTGACGTGAAATTAAGAATCCATGAAAAATCTCAAAGCAAATCAGTACTGAAGATTACACACACATAAATACTATTTGCCAGAACCATTTAACAGGGTTCATCTTCATGAATTAAAGAATATATTCGAACTTCAACACGTTGAAATTTTTTCGTTTTGGCTTCTTTATGTGTGTGAAGGTGTCAAAAGAAGATGGCTAATGGTCAGCTCTGAAGTAGAACTAGTTCACATAGTTTAGAGCATACAATGAGACCATGTTAAACAAAAGCTCTGGCGAAAAGCGGAGATAAGCACGAGCAAACTCATACATCTAGATGGTACAAAATAGAAAAAGGAAAACTGAAATTAAGATTCTTGTGTTTCAAGCTGGCATTAACCAATGTACAGGTATTGCATTGCCTATGCTGCAATACATAAAAGAAAGTCTCTGTCATTCAGCTAGTTGATTTAAGAAAAGAAACCAAGTTTGCATTGCCTTTGCTGCAATACATAAAAGAAATTGAAAAATATACCTGTCATTTGTGCTTGTGCTCAGCTGGTTTTAAGGATCATACACATCTGAAACTAATTTGAAGAAAATTTCAGAATTTGGGATGATATATTTCTCTTCCATCTTTTTTTTTTTTCTTTTTTGTATTTTTTCCCTTCTTGAAACATCTTCTCTTCCCTCTTTGATAAGCAACCAACAAATATTGGACCTGGATAAATCTGAAGTGTTGATGCAGCGTACTCTAAAAAATGCAGCAGAATCGCTCCTAGGATGAATCACAATAGATGTGCTTAAATTAAAGTGCAGAAATTAAATCAAAATGCTGTATACATGATTTGTGAAAAAGCTGAAAATGGCCATCATCTCTCTTGCTCTCTCCCCCACACACCCGCACACACACACACTCATTGAAACTGCACAAGCCAAAGATATTGATACAAAATCAGACTGATATTGATATATTCAAGCCACCTGTTGAAGATGCAACTTTACCAACTAATCGCAAATGGGAAGCAAGAATGCATACCAAGTCAGATGAAGAACATAATAACAGTATAAAAACTTAAAGAGTTTCCTGTAATACATCTTTTCATCAAGTTTGAATTTCCTCCACCCCGAGAAACCTTCAGCACATTTTTGCTAAATCAGTGAGATAGGAAAACAAGAATCCATGAAATATCTGTTCAAGCAAATTATTACTGAAGAGTAAGCACACAGAAAATAGTACTTATTAGAACCATCTAACAGGGTTCATCTTCAAGAAAAAAACAATGACATAAGCAGGAACAAACGCATATGTCTAGACGGTGAAAAATAGAAAAAAGAAAGAAAAACTGAAAAAAAAATTCCTCATGTTTGCAAGCTGTCACTAACCATATACACATATTCCAGACAAAAGGTCACAAGAGCACACAGCATTCTTTGCATTTAAGAAAAAAACGATAAAAGGAAAAAAGGAGGTCTCAGGGCATACAGCTATTTGCTTCAAGAAAAGAAAGCTAGTCTGCATTACTTAAGCTGATATGTATAAAATAAATAAAAATGTGTGTGTACCTGACATTTATGCTTGTGCTCAGCCGGTTTTAAGGATCATACCAATCTGTAGCCATATTGAAGAAGATTTTAGAAATTGGGATGATTATTTTATACATTAACAAACATTAAAACAAAAAAAGGGAACGGGGAGAACACATCACAAGAATATCTTATAGATAGTTTTGATTCCATAAATGCATGACTATTCAAACAAAAGAATTGCAAACCGCCAGAAATTGCTTTGTGTAATATGAATGATTATATCATTGAACTGATTCAACATACGCAATTAGTACTGTGGAAGTAGGTCTAACCTAATGAGTGGAATTCTTCTCTGCTTTGACTCTCTGCCAATTGAAGAAGATGCATCAATGGTTCACCATTGCAAAATGTGATGAGAGGAAATAGGACTCTCTTTCTGAGTTGTCATTAAGAATAAAAGTAACCATCCCAATTTTTCATTTCGTTAGTATTAACGATCTTTAAGCCCTTATTTCCCAAATCTATCTGTTCTTGCAGAATTTGCTCCACAGAATTTACAACAGACTGGCTACACCTTATCACCTTGATCAAGCCAAGAGTGACACTTTCCCCTAAACAAGAAGGGACCTCTTTCAGCCTATAACAATTATCCAAAACCAATTTCTCAAGATAGGAAAAATTACCAGAAGAGGCTGTCCACCAGCGAATGTCCAACTCTGACAATTTCAAGAATCGAAGGTTACAGAAATCCCCTTCTTCCATTTCCCATTTTTCCCCCAGAAAGGAATCACGGTATAATTTAAGCACTACAAGGTTGGGTAGCTTTCCAATTGCTGAAATTTTACTCCATGGCTGACAATTATCTGAGAGAGTCAACTTTTTCAAATTCAATGGGAATTCAAACTCATATCTGTCAAACCTTCTTATCTTAAGTGACTCTAGTCGACTCAAGTAGTTCAACACGAGAATCCCACCGTGATTTCCAACAGATGTTATTGTTAGCTTACGGATGCTCGGTAACTTTGACAATATCTTTTGCAAGTTTTGAGGAGGGGCCTCAATTGCAAGGGTTAAGGTGTCTAAATGTTTCAAATCAGGGGAGCCTTCAAGACCGTCGATGGGAAATATGAAACCACCTCCAAACTCTGATGTGACAAGATGCCTCAATGTTTTAATGTTCCAGATAGTGTTTGGTAACAAATAACGTCTAGGGTTTCCTTCCACTGCAAAAGTTTCTAACCTTGAGAGGCTAGCTATTGCAGATGGGATATTCCCCAAAAAATTTCTAATTCTCAGGTACCTCAAGTGAACAAGGAATACTACTTCCCTTGGAAACGATAAAGTCGGATAAGAACAATTCTGCAAATCCAACACTCTAAGAAGTTTACACAATAGGAATTTGTATGAACTCTCTTCCAGCAGTGTAGGTCTATCTCCAAAGAAGAGCAAACAATGCAAATTGGGAAAAGACAGCCCCTCAATCCTAGTCACATGGTTTATATGTGGGATGCTGGGGTGAATAGACAGTCGGTGGGGGTTACATGGTCGAGTACATGTTGAAAAGTCATCCTCATGTAAAATCTGTAGAAAACTTTCTTCTTTAGCTTTCGCCACACAAAACTCATGTATCAAATCATGGATCCGGCAAGCTTTGATCCCACCTAAAGATCTATGTTGGGTAGCCATAACTAAACTTCTCCCAATCAAATCCATCAAATACTCATCTGCCACATCCTCTAAACTCTTTCCTTCGATCTCTTGCACAAACCCTTCAGAGATCCAAAGCCATAACATCTTTCGGACGGGAATGTCTTGGTCTTCTTTAAATGCACTGAAGTAAAGAAGGCATGGCTTCAAATAATCCGGTAAATAATTGTAACTCTGCTCAAGTGTCTTCATGCAATGTTCATTGTCAACATAAATGCTGGAAGTTAGACGTCTTACAATTTCTTCCCAGCAATCTTGCTCAGTAGTAGCAAGAATTCCAGCAACAAGAACAACTGTCAGAGGTAGGCCTTTACAGTACTTTGCTACATGCATTACAACTTTACCTAATACTGGAGGACAATCTTCTTTGGCAAATAGCTTTTTCTGCAGCAATTCACAACTCTCATCTTCTGTAAGTGGGCGAAGATGGTGAGGCTCACTACCAGGTTTAATTTGCCAACACAATTTCTGAAATCTGCTGGTTAAGAGAATCCTGCTTCCATTGCAATCATCTGGTAGTGAGTGTTTCAACAAATCCCACCCCATAATGTCCCAAACATCATCCAAAATGATGAGATACCTATTTCTCTTCAACAATTTGTATACCTTCTCAGCCATATCATCTTCATTCATCTCAAGATACTGGACAGAACTTCCACAATTGATACTACACAAAATCTGAGCCAACAAACTATGCTTGGTATAAACTTGAGAAAAACAACACCAAGCTCGAATGTGGAAGTGGTACTCTACCGAAAGATGACTGTAAACTTTATTGGCTAGTGTTGTCTTACCAAGCCCAGACATGCCCACAATGGCAACAATATCCTGCTGCAAAGGTCCACTCACAAGTCTATCAATTATACTTTCTACCTCATCATTGAGACCCACCAGAACTTCATTGGATATTGGAGCAGTAACTTGTGATGGCATGTTAATAGTAGTCTTGGTAACTCTCTGGATTTCACTATCAAATCTAATGCTATCATAGATCTCTTTGGCCTCAATCTTCATAAGTTGGATATCTCCAGCAATAGCATCCAAACGTTTATCACCAAGTAGTGCAGAGTCAATTTCTAATTCTGCACTGTATGCAACATTCATGACACGACTCCAGAAAGCTTGGAGTTTTTCATCTCCATTGCGCTTCTCCACAATATTTCCTAGGAAAGATCTTAAGAATAAAAGATCCTTTAGGATTGTGTTGATTTGATCATTTGGAAAAGCAATTGAATCAGCTGTTGAACTCAGTAGTTCCTTGAGAGCTTCTAGAAGACGATCAAGAGAGCCCAGCTCGTTAGTCTTAGGGAAACTAAGTGGTGATGATGACGATGTTTCTGGATAAACGTGTGCAGATTTTGCAATGATCAACTTGAGCACTTCGAGCAAATCAGAAAGTGCCGGATCTATGTCCCTGTGCAAGCCTTCTTTCTTTTCATTCACAAAAAGGGAGAAACTCACAATACCTGCATCAGAGACCACAGCTCCAATGAGATCCTTCATCTCATCATTTAGCTCATCGAACTTCTCCTGCCGTAGGCTTAGAAGGATACTCAGGAATCTTACTCCCTCGAGGAGTTTTAGCATTTGATCCTTCATTATTACCAGGAAACTGGTATAACATTCTGATATGTTTCCCATGATACTTCGCAGGAGATAATCAATAAATTCAGCCACTAGAAGCCTATTCTCGTTCAGAGCTAAAGTGCAGGATGATCTTGATAACTTGGAAGCTTCCAGGACATGGGTATAAATCTTTCGTACTTGGGGATCAACCGTCTTGTGTATTAATTGAGAAATTTCAAATTCCATTTCGTTGCATATTCCTCTATTGTTTCTTCGAAACCAAAATGTAGAAGCCAGGCTTGCAGCATTGACAGCCACAACTTCAACGTGAACCAACAGATCTATCAGTGGCTGACCCTCAACGCCTTGTATTGTTGCAAAGCGAACGAAACTTTTCAAGAACACTAGCTTCTCTTGAAGGTTTTCCATTACAGCTTCCAGAACTTCATCAAATATGAAGGACTCTCTGTAGCGAAGAAGCGCCACCAGATTCACTGAAATGGAATCAATGAAATCCATAACTAGTTGTGGATCTCCCAGCGAGTAGTAAAGCAACATGATGTCCAATTCCTTGATGTCTGTTTCAAAAAACTGCCTCATGCTTTCTTCGAGATCATATCTAACGGCATTAAAATCTAATGCACCAGACTGAATATATCTAGAAAGAGCAGAGTCAAGTCCATCTGTTATCCCCCTAACAAGATGGTCCAGATCTTGAAACTTGAGCGAAATACTGTTAAGTCTCAAAATTTCAGACTTGGCATCACCTTCGTCCTCCTTATCACATTCCAAACACGCACCCTGCTTGCACCTTCTCCTCTTACACTTTCTAATATACAGATCAAAGGTCTCCAATAGACGTATCCCCATCTTTAGATCATTCGTAGGAGACCGGTGCTTCACATAATCTAAAGCACAATCCCAGCAAATAGTTCTTTTGCTGGAGGAGTTGTTCATCATGGTACCTGCTTTTCACTCGGCTATCAGATTTTCTGTCTTTAGTAGCTATTGATGTTCAAAATCTACAACTTTCGTATGATCTAATAAAGTCTCTCTATTTTTTATTTTTTCCGTATGTATTTTTGAAAATGTCAGTCACATATTTGTTAAATGAATTTTTTCATCCTTCACTTTAAAAATAATAACTTTGCGTCCCTGGAAAAATTAAATTAATAAAATTTTGATCCCAACTTAAGTTTTTACTCATCCTTGATCATGAATCTATCACGTGACCCATATATGATCACTTTTTTAGGGTTAAAAAAGTTTAAACTCCATTTATAGTCAAACAAACACCTAGTCCATATTTATTTTTGCTCCCCAAAAAAATAGGATGCAATCCAAATCATATTCATTTTGTCACCTAAAAAGTGAGATTTGACCAAATTCGTACTCATTTTGCTATTAAAAAAGTGGGATATAACATTTTTGGTACATAAAAAATGATTGTATGTAGATCAGATGGTGACTTCAGGCTAAAAAATGTTTGGAAAATTATGCTGGACCAAATTTCACTAACTTAAATTTATAAGGAATGTCAAGTTAACATTTTAAAGTTAAAGGGCAAAAAATCATTTGACAAAATATGAGAAACTTTTTGAACAATTTTTCCTTGTGCCAAAACTTTTGCCTAAGTTATTAGTGATTTTCTTTCCTCTATTTTTTGGTGGAAAAACAGAGTAAATTTGAACGAGCAATTCGAAATGTAATGTAATTTCAGATGGGCAGATCGCCATTAGCAGCAGATCAGAAAACTTGAAATTACGAAAAAAAAAAATTATGAAAGAAAATCAATCTGTAGCACTACAATATTGAATCAAATCCAAATATGCGCAGCACCAAAACGAATAAAACAAGAAACATCACTCAGAAGAAAATGGTGACTAGAGATTAAAATCCAACCAGGCTGGTCTAAGTTTAGAGATTTCCAATCCTAAGCTAAATGGCTAAAACCAAAAGGGTTCACTTTCCATGATCCATGGCTATCATTTTTATGTTATTATTATTTGTATTTTGTTCAGATTAGGCAAATTGCGATTAGCAATGGATTAGCAATTTATTTGAGAACAAAAAAGCTAAACCATGGAAGCTCTTTTACCTTTTTATTAGTTTTGAGATGATTATAGTTTCAATAACCACAAGGAAAGTATCAAACAACCAAGAAACTGACACAATAAGTAAAAACCCAAACATGCATAAGGTATCAAACAATAAGAAACTGATTTTGATCTGCAACTCTTTCTTTCATTCCCTTGTTTTATAATTTTCCTTCAACATACAGAATATATAAACAGCAGAGGAAATGGAATAATTAATCAACTTATTCTTCCTTTTTTTTTTCTTTTTCAATTTCCTTGAATTCAAAAATACCTATTGTTGATCAGCTCTATTTCAAGAAGCTCCAGCAAACGTCAGGCGCCTCCCTAACAAACCGCCTCTTAGTCCACTCTTGTAGTCAAATATCAGCAAATTTATCACAATAAATGCAAAACTTTGGTGGGATTTCTTTAAGAATATACTACAATGCAAGCAGATTTGTGACAGTCACTACTGAATATCTGAGACGAGATACTTCACTGACAATAGCAGCCCTTCACTTTCTTGCCCACAAAACAAAGGTTTGTTCTAAAGAATATGCTTTTCACTTTTCTTGCCCACAATAATATGCTGCCGCTTGTTTTTCCAGATAAACAATGGTTTTATCTATATACATATCGTATTGGGTAAGTGTCGCAAAACGCCATCTCATTCACATGAGAAATGGTGCCGTAGTAAATAAAAAATTGTGACCACAGTTTCCCAGCAACTTCAGTTGTGGCAAATGAAGACAACTTACTGGGATATCTCATCGAGGAATCACTCTATCGAGGAGAAAGTTATCATATTTGTCCCTCATTTTTATTGGTAGCTCTGTACCAATGTGGGGCTAATCTTTATCTTTTTTTTTTTTTTTTGACAACTTTGACAGGAATATGAGAAAATCTATGGGTTGCGGAAACACAGCCAATTTTCTAGGCTAAAATTGGGATAACTGTAAAAATATTATATAAATGACAAAGCTAACAGTAAATTAGACCATATGCACCAGGTTTCTTCATAGAGCCAATCCTTTAGGCGCTTCCAAATGTCTTCAAAGCTGAAGGTGCCATTCTTTGGAAAGAATAGAGAGTACAAATGCAGACTTCATCAATGGCATTGGTTTGGTGATCATCTGTAGTGCTTCAAAAATGGCATTAATTTGGTGATCATCGGTAGTGCATGATCCCAATACCGGGTTAATGGCTAATTGTTAAACATGAAGGACCAAATGAACAAGTGATTTTGATGTTCATAACAATACCAATATCTCTGGCCTTCTCACTGTCTCAGACCAAAATCAACATAAGGAGTCATAAGATGAAAATGTGGAAGTTTTTTGCACCAAATTTCCTTGTTTCCCATCTTAATTCATTGAGTACACTTGAAGCCACCATTACCCGTCCAACCACCATAAAAGGGTCCAAAAATAAAATCAAACAAATAGAGGGAGAGAGTGGCTCTGTGCAAGTGCTACCAGCTTCAAGGAACGTAAGATCCACTCCCAGACGTGATAATGATGGTGTCGTGATTGAAGCCAGCTCCACTTCCATACATGATCTGTAATAGCAAATCTGTGGAAGCAACAAAGAAGCCTTACTGCCTTACTTCTTTTAGCCTTACAGGATACTTGAATTCATATTACTTTATTAAGCATCAAATGAGAAGGCTGTAGCCTTAAATCTTTTAGCATCTTATGCCTTTCCCTCTCCCCCCCTTCACTTCCTTTCTGTAATAGGTTGCTTACTTTCCTTTAAGCACACGCACGGTGTGACAGTGTGTGAATTGTCATTAAATGGGTAGTTTTGTAACGAACTAGTTATATCTTTTTGCACCCACAATGGTGTAGAGTTACTGAATTTGGTATTGTTTTGATGTTGCAGGAAAAAGAAGAGGTTTTGATCAAGAACGGCTAAGGAAGGAAACGAATTGAAGTTGGCGAGGCCAACTCCGGCGCCGATTTTATCATTGGTCTTGGTCTGACGGAGTGAGGAGCTGAAGTCCGAAGGAACTCCGGCACCAGTCTTTGCGCCAGTGTTATCGCCGGTCTTCATTGAGTTTTGACGAGCGCTTCTGTTTTAAAACTGAAGGAAACCTAATCAAAGGGAGATTCACTTGTAACTTCTAGAGGCTATATATAGGAGTTATTGAGGGTGTTTAAGGGGGAAGAAAAACATTAGCAAGGAATGCACATTCTTCCATCTTCTCTCATAGTTTATCTTGGAGATCAAGATCAAGTGTGAGAGAAGTAAATCAAGAAGCGCAAGCGAGAGAGTTGGCGACGAGCACTGAGGAGCCTCAATTTTTCTCCTTTGTATTACTTCTTGAATTGGTGGTTTAATTTCTTCATTATATCAGACTAAATTTATTCTAGGGCTAGGGTTCTTATGAAAGAGAATTGATTAATTCTTTCAATCAAAGTTCTTGTCTTTTGATATGATTTATCTATCTCGCTCTTATTTGCATGTTTATACTTGATCACCATGAAAATTACTTAGTATTGAATTGAGAAAAAAGGTACAACCGTGCGCTGGGTAGATAAATGCACTTGGCCCAATCACCAGAGTAGAGTAGGTTAGAATTTGTGTGATGCACTTATATCACCAAGGCTCTTAAGAGATTTAATTGAACATTTATGGTTGAGAGAGAGGCATAGAATTTGATGAGGCACACTTTATTAGATGTATCGAAACATAATCTAAAATACAATTTTATTAGACATTCCTAACTTGACAAGAAAAATAATTAAGGAATCAATTCAACCTCTGGATTAAAACCTGAACCCTAGACTTGCCGAACTATTGTTCCCTCATTTCTTATTAATTTAATCAAATTAATTTCTAGTTGTTTCGTGATAATCTAAAATCTCTTCCCGTTCGCACTTTTATGAGAATAATTAAAGTAAAAAAATTTGATTTGTCCTTGTGGTTCGACTTTGGAATACTCCAGGTAAATTATTATTATGATCGACCCTGTGTATTTGCAGAAAAACATCGATCAAGTTTTTGGCGCCGTTGTCGAAAACGGAGCTTAATTCTCTTGCTTTAGTTATTCATCTCTTTGTTTTCTATCTATACTTTTATCTAGTCTCTTTTCTTTCTCGTACTTCGCTTTATCTTTAATCCTCTTGTCCGGGAATTTGGTGTATGACCCACTCACAAAAAGGTGATTTGGTGCACGATCCTAAGATAGAGAAAACTGCAAAGTATCTTAGGAAAAAAACTTGTTTGCAAAGACAAGCAGGACACCTACAATCACCTAGAATCAACATTGGACTGGAATTAGTAGAGTCAAAAGTTCAGACGAAGAAACAATGGCAAAAGAGAACCAAGGCAACAACAACAATAAGAACATTCGGCAAATCATGCTACCAGTAGCTCCATGTACTGGATTTCGTCTAAAGGATATTCAGTGTCTTGTCATAGCAGCATCCCTACACTGTATCAGGCTAAGTGATAGGGCCAGAAACTATGAGCTGAAGACTATGCACTTCAACATGTTACTTGGCTTTTACAGTCTAGTTAATGAGGATCTGCTCACTTTCATTCGGGAGTTTTATTCTATAGTGTAGACTTTTCCGCTTAATGGCCTATCAGAGATGAATTAAGGATGAGATGCTTCCTATATTGCCTTAGGGATGGGCAAAGTCATAGCTATTGAACTTACCAGAGGGATCATTGGCAATATGAGAAGATGTGTATAACATCTTCATGACCAAATATTACTCACTGTAAAATACTATAGATTTGCAAGATAAGATATGCACGTTCTCTCAAATGGAGGGAGAGCCTATTCATGAGGTCTGGGAAAGATTCAAACTGCTACTTGCTCAATGCTCTCATCACTAGTACCTTTTGGCATTGCAATTACAATTCTTTTATGATGGGTTGACGTTCG